AAGTCGTATATTTGTGTTGCTCTACTAAAGCGCCACAGGGAATGTCATCCCCACCCCTCAGTGCTCTGCTGCTCAAGGGCTGAGCTGGGCATTGTTTCTTCGCTTCAGGCTGAATCTGAAGCTAGTATAACAAATGATGAATTGAATCACCTCCTCAACTGTATTACCTTTGTATCCATTGTCCTAAGCTCAGTATCTCTGTTTTTCTCCCTGCTAGTTAGGTCTTTCCCCTAGAAACTGAAAATGTTTCATCACTACGAAATTCTAGAAGCTTTTCTATTCACCTTTTGAACAAAGCTAAGAACCAATAGTGGTGTTAATGCATGCACAGCAAATTGCTAGTTAAACAGGAAAGCATTAACAAGACCACAATTAGCTCTTCAGTAAGATCAGTAAATACAGAATTAGAGGTTCGTTGAGTTGCCATCTAATTAAGCGGCAGTCACCTTGTTGAGCAAGTATATGCTCTGCATTTACATTATAGCTGCATTACAAGCTTAACGAGTTTTTCCTTAGTGCTTTGACTAAGAATTTCAGCTACATTATTTTTAAAACAATTAATTTCTTTGTCTAAGGTATCTATTAGTGTCATTGGGACTCTATTTTCACTGCAGTGGTGTAGGTGTTACTGTGTACCTTGCCAATCAGTGAGTATGGTAGCCTCAGCTTGTGGTGTTCCATCCCTCTCTTTTGTCTGTACATCTGTGGTGTCCCTGCTTGCCTGGCCTCTTTCTGAAAAAGCCCAAATCAAATCTTGCCCATCTGAGGCAACAGACTTGAAATTGTGGAATTTAGCATGAGAAATTCCCTTCCTGACGGTGGAGTTTCTGTCTGCTGCCACATTAGATGTCCATCATTGTGCCCAGTGATCATTCTAGGAATGATGTTACACTTTCTTGAGATTTTTCTTACTTTTAAACAATTTTTAAATGTCTAGTGCTGAATCTGTTTTCTGTTCTTCTTTTCAGCTGTCTTACAAAGTTTGATAATTTTTAAATTAGTATTTACACTTTTGGTCATTTGAAATTAGCTCTCCCAAAGTCAAAGGCATGTTGATAAGATTTTGGATAGACTGGTAAAGAAATATATTACAGTGATTGGAACATTCCAGCTTAATGTAAGAATTTGATGAACAATTGACAGACTGGAATGACACAAACAAGCTACTACAAAACAAGCTGGCAACACGTAAATCTCCACCGTAGGGGTCCTGTTGATGCCTTATAGGTAATTATGGTATGGACGGTAATGTCAGATTGCTGCAGGCTTTTCTTCCTATGTTTTAATGGAAAGCACAGTTCCTCTAGTTGTAGACTTCACTAGTCTACTTTTCCATAATTCAATACTTTTTCCTTTTTTATTTTTTCTCCTATTGCAAGCAAGTTGCTGTGGTTGGAGTTGAGAAGTCAGAGCAGGAAAGAACGGGTATTTATAGAAGGAAATGGAGGGCATTATTGAGGCTCTGGACTAGAAGTGACTGAAGCTCATGGGTGTGTGTGATGCATTGAAATACCATGGAGATTTGGAGTTGCACAAGATTCATTCCTGTATGATTTTTCAGTTTGGATACAATGAATTCTGGACAAAGTAGACTGCATCTGAATTCAAACGCCCTTGTGTATATTTAGCTTCAGCATTTTTGCATCACACTCTTCTGTCCTTCTAGTTCTGGGATGAGCCCAGCCAGAACTAACAGGCTGTTGCATTTGCTGTTCTAAATACGGCTTGTGCACATCCTGTTTCATTACTGTGAAAAATCTACAGTTTCAAAAGGTGTGTATAAATGGTTGTGCTTTTGTGCTTTGATAGAGCATGCTTCTAATATCATGCTAAGTATTTCTCATTTGCATTTTTGTAGCATGTGACATTTCTGGGATTGTAGTTTGTGAAGTGAGTATAGCTTCTGTTGAACAAAATATGCAGCAAACACTTTGTGCAGATTTATTTTGCTAAAAGCTACTCGGTCTGTGTTGTAGTGACCATGCCACAGAGAGCCAGTTTCTTCTTCCTGGGTTGACTACGAATCTTAAGGATGGTCAGATCTGCATATAGGATGGATTATGAGAGACCCTTTGAATTGTTCCTTCCACCATTGGTTTCAAAACCAGGTCACACAAGAGCCTTCCTTTTGTAATTGGAAGAGCAGTGATTCAGCTTTTCCTTCTTTCAGGCTTTTTTTCTTCTCTCTTCTCTTTACCTTTCCTGTCTTCTTCCTCATGCTCACACCATTGTGTGAGTAGCCAATGCAAATTTCATGTTCCTACTAAAAAAAAAAAAAAAGAAAAAAAAAGCCTTTATTCTTAAAACTTCTTTTAGTTAGTCTTCCTTTCAGTCATCCCATTGCCTTTGATTTTGACAACACAGTATGTGAAGATCTGTTATTGGCAAACATATAGTCCTTGTATGCACAAATAAATTAATAAGCGCAGTCACTTTATGTGACCTCTGGGTGGCATTTGTGTAGGGTTTGTGTTGTGTTAGGTCCTCTTTGTGGTTGAGTACAGAGGATGTGTTGAAAGTGCTGTTGACACCAGGATGCCCCAGGGGACACTGATAACTACATGAAAAGAGCCAGTTGCTTTAGAAGTGGATTCACAACTGCTGTTATCTTGAGTCCAACTTTGTCCCAGACTTAGTGACACACTTCTCAGTATGTACTGAGACATCCTGGTGACTTTTTTCCTGGAAGTGAGAACCTTCAGCTGGCTAATTGGAAAGAAAAGAGAATCTCTCACTTTTTTTCCTAAAAGAGAGTTTAAGATGTTACTGCTATTGTCCCTTACTTGTATAATTGTGTAAGCGTGTAGTAGGAAGGAGGAGACTCTTGTTTTATTCCCTTTTTGGTCTAAGGAGGCTGAGACTTAATGTTTCCAAGAGAGTGAGCTGAACTAGGCTGGCTTCAAGCTGAGGTTGAGCCTGTATTTGGCTTTGGTTGAAACTATGCCTTTGTGCAGCAAAGAATGAAAAAGACGGGAGTCAGGGAGAATGAACTGATATGACTTTACACCCCTGTAGTAGGAGTCCTTCTGTGGTTTTGGTCCTTACCCCCCACACTTAATTCCACGTTATTTGTAACATTAGACTAATGTTATTTGTTCCAGCAAAGATCTCACTAACAAAAACAAAGATGTGATACTTTCCCAAAGCTGTAAGGAAATCACCTTTGCTTTGTTCTGTGTCTTGTGCTGCCACAGCTTTTATTTCTTACGTTTGTTTGAAAACTATACATAAGTGTGTATGAAAGTATACACACATGTGCATCTGCAACATGTGTAATTGGAATCCTGAGGTGTACTGACTAAATACTTTTTCCTGTCAAAATGTAAGAAATAAATCTATTTTTTATGTCCGTGCCTATGGAATTTTTTAACTGAAATGTTCAGTTATTATTAGTTCAGTTTAGTTTTGTTTTCTGTCCCTCAGTGTGTTCTCTTCCATCACGCTGTGGCAGACTGTGCTGTTGTGGGCCAGGAGGATCCGTTAAAAGGACACGTTCCGTTTGCGCTGTGTGTACTGAGAGAAGGTGAGAGCTCGCTGCTACTGATGTTACTAAGATTGCGAAGTCCCAGAAAGGTTAAAGGATATGCACTTCTTTACTAGGTGTAAAGACAGAAGAGGAGGAGATTTTGGAAGAGATTGTTGAGCGAGTTAGAACAAGCATTGGTCCAGTAGCAGCTTTCCAGAAGGGAGTGTTTGTGAAACAGCTCCCAAAAACACGCTCTGGCAAGATACCACGTTCAGCTCTTTCTGCACTTGTCAGTGGAAAGCCATATAAGGTAAGTTGGAAATGTACACTTTAATGAATTAAGCACTCATGCACAGCCAAAGACACATCATCATGGTTTTGATTCTCTAGACCATTCTGCAACTGGTCTATGACACCAGGTAGTACGTTCTGGTTTATTTCTACTGTTTCTTACCCAAATTTCATGTTCCAGAGCTTTCCGGATACTTTTTTCTTGATTGGTTTTGAAGGCTGGATTTAGAAGATTTTCTGGATTAAATTCTGTCTCACTGTTGAAGAACAGCCATCTACTATCACATGCTTCTGTGTATTCTTCCTTTTTAGATAACACCGACCATTGAAGATGCTACTGTGTTTAAACACATTGAAGAAGTGTTAAAGAAAAATAAAATGGGATAATAGGTTGCTAACAAATGTGTCAGTTACTGAAGTATACGAAGAGACTTTCTGTTAGGAAAGTCCACATTATAAAACTGGTAATCATTTGGGACTAATTTTTTTTACTTCAGTAACGTTACTGTGTTCTTTACCATATCGTCAGAGCCAATGACACATAATAAAGTCTCTGAATGTTGTCATTATATAGTGGATATTAAGATTGCTAAGAATTGCAAACAGAATTCATACATTTATATAGCCTTAAAGGGAAGGAGCGACTGGATTATTTCATATGATGTCATGTAACCTTGCATTTCAATCCAGTATTGTACCTTGTGACCAGTAACTTGAATTTGGCTAAACAGCTTACATAAGGTAAGTCATGAACTGAGGAGAGCAATCAATAGGAATTCTAATGTGAAAATTATTGCAGACGTAAGTTGTCCTCACTTGTAAATTGTAAGCCTTTATGTCTTTTAAATTTTTATAAATTTTAAAATTTTTAAATTAGTTTTATTGATTCCACTGTTTGTTTTTTTTTCCTAAGTCTTTCTGCTATAAATTAGATTCCTCTAATTTTTTTACTCAGTAAGTTTCTGAAATGTCTTTTTTGCAGAATGATAGATCACTTCTGGCTTTAAAATCTATGAACATCTTGATTTGTCCATAATAATATTCAATAAAACCTGTGTTTTTTAAATAAAGGCAGGCATTTACTCTTTGCATTTTCTGGTAATTTTATTGTTATAGTTTGTATCACTTATGATAAGTATAACCAGAATCTGCTTTTGCTGACATAATTGGATGTTTCAGGCTCGCTGAGATAACCAAGAAATTTAGCAAATAAAGCTACCAGGTAGCCCATTCTTGACTTTATAGTCCGTTTCAAAATACTTACAGGATTCTCAACAAACTGGGGGTTGGAGGATACGCTCTCTAAATGCATTACTTCTCAAGCTGCAGGGTTTTAACTGAACAATAAGTATAAAATTCCTCTTAAAAATACATGTTCACAGAAAAGTTTAAAAGCAGAGAAGCTACTCAAACTCAGCAATGCTTTCTAGAGGAAGAAACAGTAAGCAATATGCAGTTCAGATTATATTGTATAAAAGACAGATTCTGTACTTAGGCTAAGCTAAGGTAGAAGTTAAGTCATGACATATTTTGCTAATGCAGTGTGTCCTCAAAAGAGTCCAGAAATACTATTACCTCCTCTTGGGTAGAAGTAAGGATGGCAGCACTGCTAAGTGGTAAAATAAATCAGCAGATTGATGTAGGAGCTAAAAGGTGGTAGAGAGGTGCTGATTAATGTGAGCCATACCCTGATGTTGCCTTGTGCCTGTGACCTTTTTGTAGAGTCAATGAGCTCTACCAGTGCTATAGGAAATAATTAAAAAGTCCATGTGTTTTTTCACTGGGGACTGCATGTAGCTGAGCCAGCTGTCTTGAACCAGTCATACAGTCATCTAATAAAACAGCCTAGTTTCAGTCTGTGCTGTACTTGTTTTTTCCAAAATAATTGCATGTGTGGACATGGTGCTTAGGGACATGGTTTAGTGGTGGACTTGGCAGTGCTAAGTTTACAGCTAGACTTGATGATCTTAAAAGTCTTTTCCAACCTAAACAGTTCTGCGATTCTATAAGGTAGCCGCCCTGCTCAGCTCTTTGATTTAGTTGAAAATCGCAACCTGAACAGGGAGTTAAAGCATTTAAAGACTGAGTAAAGGCTAATGATGCTTTATGGTAGATAAGCTAACTATACATGTTAGTGATTTATATGTGGGAGGAATTTTGCCCCTCAGAGATGTCCTGATAACTTTCTTGAAATACTTACATAAGTTGCAGTTAGTTGAAGATACTGTTTTCTTCTGGATAGATTATCCAAATACCAAAGCTTTAATAGGAGGCCCATGCCAAATAATGGAGTGCCTTGCAGAGAGTGCTGAGTATTTTTCGGTTTCATAATGCTACAACTAAGCAGCCTGTGCTGAACAGCTACAGGGCAAGAGAGCAATCATGGGAGTTGTCACTCATGGGTATTTTAAATCAGTGAGAAACTACAATTTTCACAGAAAAACTGGCGCATTCACGACGTGCATGGCCATCGCTTTCTTTGTACAATGAAAGCTGAGACATTAAGTTGTGTATGTTCAGTGTAGTTATCGTGGCTGCAGCCATCATGTTTTAATTGCAGAAGCAGTGGAGGGAAACTAATCAGCGCACAAGCCCTCTAGTAAAGATACTGCAACAGGATGTAGGAGAGGAGGATTAATTTCCTAGGTCTTGTACAGTTTTCCCAATGACATCTCATGTTCCTACACCAGTTTCTCCATTTGTAAGGAAAGGTAGCCTGTTTTCTAGTTTGGGGCTATATTTTAAGGAAGAGAGAATTAATATCAGACTTTAAAAGACAAAAAAAATTTTGTAATGGATATTTAGGCACTTACCTTTCTGAGGGACTATTTGCTCATATTAATATTGACAAGAAACAATTACCTGTCATCTGAACTGTTTGTGAAAACCTTGAAAAGTTAGCATTCTTAAAGTCTATCCATGACAAATGTTTGTAATAACTTATTTCTGCTTTCTGAGGAAGCCTGAGCTGCTTTTTTTCTTTTTTTCCTTTTTCTTTCCTTTTCTTTTCTTTTTTTTTTTTTTTTTTTTTTTTCTTTTCTGTTTTGGAAGGAATTATTTAAGATCAAGACTGGGATATGAGAGAGGCAGAGCGGTCAAGTGTACACACTCTGCTACTGCCCTTGTACTGGTACATTCCAGAAATGCCAAATGTCTCATTCATCAGCATTCATAAAACCCAGACAAAAAAAGCCACCTTCTTGAAGCAGTACAGCATGGAAAAATAGTTGTTTCATGGACATTGCTTTTGTTTTCCAGAGGAGCCTTTTGCTGAGGAGCTGTGATTGCAGAATGCTTTGTCTACAGCTTTAGCTTTGTGCCCAGCTGGAGAAAGGGAGAAGGAGTAGTCATTCTTATGCACAGTGCTAGTGCTGCCCAGCAACCTGGTTATCCCATCAAGGAAGAATAAGCCCATTTAACCAGTGATAGGAGAGCACTGATTTTCTTAATTTTGTTTTTAGAGAGAGGCAAGCGAGTAGATTTGAATGGTCAGGGAGTTATTGAATCTTGACTGGAAGAGTTGGTGTAATAATTCATCACAGTGTCTTGAAAGGGTCAGAGCCAACGTTTAGCATAACATTTAGCATAACCACAATTTCTAGCTGACGAGAGTTTCAGCTTGTATAGGGGAGATGGGGACGTACTAGAAGATTTGTCTATATCAGCCTTAGATCAAAACTGAAGTCATGATAATACTCTTTTTAAAAATATATTTTTAATTTTTCTGATCTGTTTTCTTCACTGTGGAAATAAACAATTTGAGGGTAATGTACTCCTAAGGCAGGATACCTGCAGTTTTGGTGGCAAGATATTGCTCATTCTCTTCCCCAACACACCTCATTCCCCTCTGCCCCCTGAACGTGAGCGTGAGGTGTGACAACGCAGGCTGAAAAAGAGATTCTGTAAAATAGGAGCTGGCGTTTACAAGGGGAAGTGCATTCAATTGATACTGCAGCCACTGAAAATGATGTTTGCATTTCTTTACTTCGTGACATTCTGGACTCAAATAATCCAAAAGGAGGTCGAGGGAGGAGAAGAAGGAACATCGGCAACGATGTCGGTTAAGCCCAAGGAACTGTACGCAGAAGAGCCGTGTTCATACAGCTGTGTGCTAACCCAAAGCCGTCCTGTCGCACCCATCAGCTAGTTCGGTGCTCCCTCTCGTGGCAGTTTCTGACCAGTAAATCCATCGTAACTCACCTGTTTGTGGCAAAATGTGCTTGTGCTTAGCTATGGGCATTCATCTGTTTTAATGCTACTACATACCAAGCTTAATAGACTTATCAACACAAATAGCACTGAATTCTTTTTTTTATTGACATTGGGGGAGAAAAATCTTTCACCATCTGATTGACTGAAGTTTGCCAAATGAAAATAGACAAAACAAATGTTTATGTACGTGCAAACATTGCAGCTCAAACTGCTGAAAGAAATAACTAAAAGACAGGTCTTGAGCTAAGATCAAGCAGCAGAAAAATAGCAAATAGGTAAATGACTATTAAGTAGGTCTTACTTTGAAACTTCCCATTTAAACAAAGAATAAACAACAATAACACCACCAAATAAAGCCACAGCAGGTAATAGTTGCTCTTCTAAACTTTTATACACTATATATTAATCACTCTGTCTTTCAGTTATTTCCTCTGATAAAACTGACTTCTGTGAAGTCTCAGCAAGGCCGTCTTGGCTAAAAGCGTAATGTTAGACAGGAGCCTGTCTAATGCCCTGTTATAATGAAGAAATGGTGGGGGTTGGCTTCTCTTTTCTTTCATTTTCTTTGTCAAATATATCTGGAAACGAGAATCTGATTTTATGCAAATACTAATTTTCCAATGCTGGCTGGTGTCTGAAGATCCTGGAACGAAAAGGTGGCTCTTGGTAAAGCAAGATTCTTCTTGGTCCGCAGGTAACATAGAAGAAAGTTTTTATTTTTTGTATAAATCATGTTTTATTAAATTGCTTTTTTTTTTTCTTTTCTTGTAAACAGTTCTTCTGGGTTTATTTGTTTGTTTTTAAGAAGTGAGCCATCATGGAGCTTCTCTACAGATATTTGACATTTTCATTTTGTCTTTAGAGGTCCATTTTGGCTCCAGTTCCAGGTTATGTCATTCTATTATACATCATCAGAGGCAGGTGTTCAGCTTTAAATATTGACAGATTTTCTCAGTAGGAACATGTTGAAGCTTCTAACTCTGCTAAACATATTCATTTGACTGTTACAATCCAAAAACTGTAAAAATGGTGGAATGGAAAGATACAAACAGTATTATTGACACTGTATTGTCAAATGTTTGCACTGAGACCCATGTACCATAGATTTTATTTTTAAAAAATCATATTTATATCCATTTACATAAGACTTACACATTTTAAAAGAAATACATACACAGTAAATACGTAAATGTCTAGTATTTTACAGTAAAACAGATGGAACAATGTAAAAATGAGTGACATCATTTGAGAAAAGCTTTGGATGTGCACTACTGCCAAATTTCTGATGACAGAGATGCTGAGAGGAAAGGGGGAGGTTTTGTTTTTCTGTTTTTTAATAGTAATTTAGGTATTTTTTAATTCTTGTTTTAAACTAACCAATACATGAAAGGAACAACATATCTGTTTGTCTAATAAATCTTACTTGTTCTCTTCCCTATTACCCTGTTCTTGCAGAGAGTTTAAATGCTCTTTTTCCTAAGTAGTGGTAGTGCACTTCAGGTAAAGTAGAAGAAAGAGATGACATCTAAGAGAAAAAAATAAACATTAATTAGCAAGATTCTTTGATTCTAATTTGGTCTAGGATGCAATGACACCAGAAAATATTTTAGCACTAAGCAAACTATCGCATGTTTTACTAAAACATGAGTTTAGAAGATCTCAGAGACACATGCATTTGTTGTTTCATTTTAGATCTGCAACATAAATCTATTAATGATGCATTTTATTCTTTTACTAATGTATACTGATTCTTTTCCTAGATTGAAACAAACTCCTGCTTATGTTCGTTTTACAGTTGTTTTGATGTTTTGATTCAGCAGTGGGCTTAGTTTCCTGCATCTGGAGACCTTTCTCTGTTTGGCACAAGGTTGAACACACATTTTATAGCCCTTGTTGATGTACTTTGTGATTCTCCTATTTCACTGCAGCTTGACAGCATTTACCTTTTTCACCCTGATGATTTATTTGCTATGGACCAGCTGTTTCCAGATGATCATTCACATCTTTTTGGAACTCTTCTCCATCTGTCTCTACAAATCCTCTTTGAAACCCTTCATTAAGAAAGTACATATTTGATTTTACCAAATCCCCCACTTTGACATTTCGTTAGAAGAAAAGTGAAACTAGCATGTTCTATTGCCCCAGCCTGTGGCAATGAAACTGTTGTCGCTCAGCATTCTGACTTGGTGGTGACAAGTATTTCATAAGAGAGGAATGTTGGGAAATCTTAGACAGTGACTGCCAAATCCACTGGCTGTGTAATGGCGTTGCAGGTACTCAGCTGGGCAACATACAGCCACCGCAGCAGAAAGCTTGACCCATCCCATGTGGTCTATGGTAAACTTATTTGTAAGATTAAATAGCCAGACACCAGCAGTCTTAAATGTTCTTACATTTCTGATCAGGACAGTGCACTCAAACTGGGCTGTGCACAATATGCTCCTGTAACTGTTCTGAGAATGTCAGTTCATGGTTTCTGGTAGCTTGTCTTGGTGGTTTCAACAAACATTTAAAAAAAATACCTGAAATGCAACTTGAAAGCATATGAATTGAACTCAGCTGTTGTAAAGAAACACTGTAAGAAACTGTAAGGTTGCACCTAATTGGTATTGTTGGCATAAGCTATTTTGAAATAAGATGCTTTGACATTCTCTGTAAGAAAGGTGAATAGCAGAATGCAAGAATCTGCAGCCTGCTGTGATCACAGGCCATCTCATTTGTTACACGTGCAACCTATTTACAGCTCTCTCTTCAGTCTGCTCTTCAGATGCATATTCCCCTTCAGTACTAAAAAAAAAATCTATTTTATTGCTGCTGTTTGATAGCTCACCCAGCTATCTGGCCCCTCTGCTGCTTAGATAGAGTCAGTCTCTGATTCTATGCATTCAGACAGTTTAGTCACCGGAGTAACACAGATACTGATGTGTTCTTGGCAAGGTGTTACAAGCCTGGCTCTCTCTCTGACCTGGATCTGGAAAATGTCAGGAGGCACGTTGAAATGAGTAATCTCTTTTGTCCAAGTATCAATCAGTTCCTTCCCTGAAGAAACTGTTAGTCAGGAACTGTGATCACAAAATTTTGGTTTTATTCCATTCGTCCTTGAGATTCGGGTCATTTCCCTGCATAATATTTTATATATATATGTATATAATTACTGGAAACCAAAATTATTTTAACTTGCTGTTTGGTTTCTAACCTGCATGACGTTTTGAAATTGCACTTATGAGCAATGCATATACCAAAGTTCTCTTCACACCACCTTGTTGCTTCTCTAAAAGGAGCATATGGTAAGTTTTAAAAAAATAGTATTATATTAGTGTCAGTCATCCTCATGGATTAGCCTTTACAATTTTGATTATTTAATTTTGATATTCTTATAGAGCGCTCAAGCATTTAAGATTAGAACGTAATTCGCATAATAGTGGACAAGCAGCAAGTACCGTCATGATACACATCACTGGTACTTGAAACACTACAAATACTCCTATAGAAATTGAAGTTAACTTGTATAGCTTGTATAACTTTGTATACACATCTTTTTGCTCAAAATACATAACCCTCATATAGGTACAGTGCCAGCAAAGTTTGCCACCTTACTTCTGTTTGTGGATTACTAATTTTTAGACAATTTTTGAATACAGTGGGAATAAACAGTTTGAATAATCTTAAATTAATTTCTCTTAACATAACAATTTTCAATTTCTGCCCTTGTTGCGCTCTTCAAACCTACTGGAAAATATCACCTCATGTCTTTGGCACTTTACCGTTGGCCTAATAGATAGCTTGGTGTTTGAACTTAATTTCTTGCTCATGCTTTAGGAAAAAAGACAAGCATCTCTGCTATCAGTTTCTACCCCACTGAACCCAGTGAGAGTACTGTCATTGACTTCACTGACATAACACCGAGCTCTAATCTATACCTACACGTACACATAAAAGGATTTCTATAGTTTACATGCTTCATCTTTGTAGGACCAGCTGCTAAACTTACCTATTTTAGAAAAAATAAAATATCCTGTGCTTATTTTTTGGTGGTAGCATGAAAAGATAGCTTTTTGACTAGATTAAGATTTTATACCCTTTGCAGTCTCTTGAAGATCTATGAAGTAAGGCTCATGTCACCAGTAGGATCCTGAACAATCTATGTGTTCCACTGATAACATTTGCTATTCCTAAGCATTTTATGAACATGCTCAGAATTAGTAAAGTGTCAATGGCCCCAAGCCTCTCCCAGTCTTGGGAATCTTAAAAAAAAGGACTTTCTTGCAGATCTTGGCATGTCTTGCCTACAATATGTAACAGCTATCAAAGCATGTTTCATGCCTTTTGAGGTTTTGGTGATCTCCAAATATTCTTTCCCCTACAATCCCCTGAATAACTAAATGGAAAACTGTTTTACTGAGAAAATATTAGCATGAAATGGTGCCATATTGATGAAAGCATTCATCATGGTAGTATTTTTTACAAAACTTGTGATGTAGCAGAAAACAGTGTATTTCCACAGAACTCTGGGAAAGTGAATCTGTGAGATTCATAGCCATATTAAAAAGAGAAGTGGTGAGAGATGCAACATGAATTCCAGTACTAGATTTGATCCAAAGCTGCATTCAGCTCAGAATGTCCTTTGTTTGCCACTGGTCAATTCTGGATGATTTGAGAAGTGCAAGAATCTCTGTAATAGATAACTTTGGAAGATTTTCTGTATAGAAGAAGTTTTGTTCTATCTTTCTGCAGCTACCTGTTGTTCTAAATTGAGCCATATTTCTCATTAAAAAAAAAAAAAACAAACGAAAAAAAGAACAAACAACAAACAACGAAAGTAAATCTCTTCTGCTTTACTAGCTTTTTTTTTTTTCCTCTCTCCATAGCTCCTGGTAGAATTACTTCAAGTTCTCACAAATTAAATTCAGTTCTTGTGCTTACTGCTATCTTCCCAATTCTAGCTTTAAGTTTGAGAGCATACAAAATACATTATGGTTGAACAGAGTTGTCTGAAAACTTTTGTCTTATCTGCAAAAGTGGTTTCAGCAGAAAGAACTTGCTGTTTGAGATGGGGAAAAGAACAGTGTAGCGTCTCCTGGACTGAGCTTGAGACTGTTGTCATGATCAAATGACCACCCTACTGAGTCTGAGTTAGGTCCTCTGCTCCATGCTGGCTCTTGCTTGAATAATGCCAAAGAATATTTGGTGTAGTATACAGTTATAAAGAGCTTTCATGATGGCCCCTTATGAATACTCACAACAATTCAGTGCTGGCTTCTTTGTTAGGCCTTGTCAGCATGAGTATGTGCGAACTGTTGAGCTGTCTAACCTCTGCAGTCGTGATGAAGCAACTGCAAATTGCAAAAAAAAAAGAAACAAACCAGAACCTCTTTAGAATCATGAAGAAAATAAATCAGTTTGTTTCCCGCTGGAAGGATGGCTATTAAATTGCTCTGTGGCTTTCTAGGACATGATCTGGGCAAGGTCTAGTTCAGAGCTCAAAGTTTCTTCATGTCTGGTGTACTATTGAAATCTGTCTTAAGTGAATACAGTTTAAAACTCAATTTTGTCTTTATTTTATTGAAAGTCCTAATACTGTACCTATTATGCTGTTTAAATACCATAGCGTTCTTAGCACTGGGAGATAGGAAGCCAAATCCTGGATGATGATGTAGGTCTTCAAAGCTACCAACCTTTACATCTACTGAGTTCAGTATCCAGCTCAATAACAAACTGCCCAGAAGACCTCAAGTAAATCACTAAATCTCCCTTGTGCCTTAGTTCCTCGTCTGTAAGATGGGAATAATATGTTCTCCATCATAGCATGGCTAGAAGATGAAATCCATGAATGTTTTTACGGTTCTTAACTAGTACAGGAAAGTGGGCCATGGAAGCGCCCAGGGAGCTACTGCTTTTATTTGTACATGGAATTTGCCTTGGAATGGATTCTTGTCTTAGAGCTTCATCATTGTCAAAAAGTGCAGGATTCAAAGCAAAGCATGCACATGAGCAGTGGAGTCAATGGAATTCAGTGATGCAATCAGTAAATTATTCCATCTATAATTGCAACTATAAAGTATTGGTTTTAAAGGTGAGAAACTTCAATGGAATTTAGATGGCTTTAATGGAATTTAGATGGCAATATTGTCATACCAAGTTCATTGAAGAGTTATAGAATGTAATTTCTACAAGCAATGTATTAAATTACTTTGAGACAAGTCTATTCATAGACCTAAATCCTCTCATGAGGAAATTCACAGCAGTGTTTGAAATGGGCCAACCTGTGTACTGGTACTTTTCAGAACTTCAGGTAGGTGTACGTGGCTTTATCACCCATATACCTGAAGGAATAGCTGCAATGGGATTTGTCCCTTCTCCCAGCCCTCTTACAATGATTTTTAAATTTTATTCATTTTTGAATTATGATTTGCTTGTTACTTTTCCAATCATTGCTGAGTTAGTGCATCTTTTAGAAATTAAAAGATTTCCAGAGAAAATTAAGACTGGTATATAGTAACTCAATTAGTACCTGAAATTCAGTATTTGCTAACTACAATACCCGTCTGATTGTTGCTAATTGTTAACAACTTGAGTTACTTGATGCTCAAGGCTACGCTAGTTAGTTTGAAAGTCAAATAGGAAAATAAAGGTGATAGCCCTTTCTAAGTTCATTCTCTAAAATACCCTCCGCCTGCGAGAGAGGCTAATGAGCTGAAATGTTTGCTTAGATAATATATGCAATCTTAGATCAGTAAATTAATTCTTCTCTCTGAATGTTTTCTGTGCAGTCTAGGGTGGCTAGATTACTTTTTTTTTTTTCTGAAGTAAACACTGACAAACTGAAGCAAACCTGAAAAAAACAATAGTTTGCCACATCAGTGCTTTTCCATTTCCTAATTCAACTCTCCCAGATTCCATTCATCCTAGTTAGGTGAACGCAGCTGTTCTGGTGCCAGACAGACATGCACTAAAAGTCAATTTAGCATGCTAGAATAAGCTTCTTGCTTTTCAACAGTAAGTGCAGAAATGACTGCATACCATCAGTCGCCATCTTCCGCGACTGCCCTGATGTGGTGGTTAATCTGAACCCAGCCGGCAGCGTTTCCGAGGAGCCCGGCATCATGCTGATCCCGTGAACTTCACGTGGAGGAAACTGTCTTCTCCAGGAGGGGCCACGTCTGAAGTTCTTGTCGTCGCTCTGTCAAGACACAGAATTGTATTTGATAAAGCAAAATGAATTTTTTTTTTATTAATTATTGTGCTGTCTGCTGCCTCTCCGACTGACAAATATATTCCACAACAACCACCCTGCTCTGTTACTGCATCCAGTAACTGCAATGCATTTGAGACGCTCTTGTAAAAGTACAGGCTTTAGAAACATTAAATGCTAGGGTGGAAAACTCTTCTTATATCTCTGACTCGATATAGCAGGAGGTTTTAGTATTAGCTAAAGTAGAACTTTCTTAAAAGTCAGATCTCTTCCAAATACAGTGACAGAAAGTGCAGTAGTTTGTTATTGCACTAGGAGCCTTACATAAAGTGCTTATAAAGAATTAAACACTCATGTGCATGTGCAGAATTCATAGGCATCTCACATTTTCAGCAATTCCTTAAAAGTGTTATTCTTCCTCACGTGCAGAAGTCCAAGACTTGAACATTTCTGCACTGGACTCTTACATTAAAATGAATATTTTCCATAGGTGGATTTGAGATTCCCCATCCTAGATAACTGCCCCAAATCCAACTCTATTACATATTGATTAACTGTGAAGAAAACAAAACAAAACAAAACCCACCAAAAATCTACTTATCTTCTTTCATTGTTTTTTTAAAGAAAGGCTGTAAGTGTTCTAAAGAATAGGTTGCACAGACATCCCTCCCCCACCCTGACTTGCTCTGGCCAGTGAAGCTTCCACTCTTTTCTGCGTGTTTCCTCTATGGAAAATGTTCATCTTAAGGTAAGAGTGCAGTGCCAAATTTAGCATCCAAAATGATATGAATATGTAGCCATACTGAGATTACTTTAAAAACCTTGACTGGCATTTTCTAATTTTTTCTTAAAGCTCTAACTGACTCTTTTTAACAATGTACAAATTAACATGTCTTCATGCATTCAATTTAATTTTTATATTTTACTGTGATATTTTATAAATACTGAAAATAAAATTAATTACTTCCTCAAGTCGTCTTTCAGTTCCTAGTGCTAAAAGGTTGTTGTATTCTCTCTCAAGGATCTGCCGTGCCTAGAGATACCAAAGTAAAAAATTAAAACAGTTGACGATGAATAAAAGGCAATAATGGGTACAGATTAAGCAGAAGTAGCATGAGCAGACTTGCCTGGGTGTTTTGTGTTGGAATCTGTAATAATAAAGCTAAACTGCTGTAATCAAAGTTTTCATCCAGTGCTATAAGTGAACCGTGTACACCACTTTCTAGAATATTATTTGCGTATTCTCGCAGGCCAATGGCTTGTATCCAGCGTATGACTCGATCATTGCTCCATACCAGCACATCTGTAAGGACATAACACTGGTTCAGTCTCCAGACACCCGATAACTTCCAAACTGTGCATGTCATACTGCTTTATTTCTTAAATGAGGAATGCCAGTGAACTATTCATATACCCTTAATATCTCCTGTTCAAACTCAAGGTGTGGGAGCAACTGTGTGATTTTAGCTTCCTTCAAGTTACATGTTTTTTCTAAATTATGTTTCCAAAGGAGAAAGGTGCTTGCAGAGGGTATCTCCGGAATGCAATTCCTCCCGCCTTTTACCGATAACCTTTTCAATTCTTGGGCAAGATTTTACAGTTTAGCAGTGCAAGGGCACAGGATAAATATCCATTCCTCAAGATTTCACTTGAGAGTTTTGGATTAAACATTTTGAGAGTCAGGTCAGCACCTACCATTTTATAACATGCCATAAAGCAAACGATGAGTTCACAATTTTAGAGACTAAAACTATTTTTAGTTGAAAGCTGGTTGAGCTGTTAAGGTCCATGTCAATTATAAAGCTAAGGCAACAAAACGAGCTAGAAAACCATTTTTGAGGATTTGACTATTATAAAAGAAGTATCCTACCCTGCCCATAAGATTAAAAGGAAGTTGCTTATGCTGAGCTTTATACTTGCAAGTGGGAAACGTAATACTGACTTTTGCGTTAGTATGTGCTCAGGCTTTTTCCTGGACCCTTAGAAGTCCAGCTAATGTAGCTGTTCTAGGAGCAGGCATTTTCCATCTCCTGACCAAGAACATCCCAGGCTCTAGGGTCAGGATCTGCTGAAACACAGCGTGGCAGCCAGGGATCACCGAGACCAAATCCCACCAGGGACTGTTACTAACTGACCAATGCACGACAGAGTGAAGGTGGCTATGGCTATTAGTCGTGTCCTAGTGGTGACCAGTACTGAAGCAACACCAGAATTTGAGACCAATACCCAATTCCTCCATGTCAGTCTCCAGCTACACTCACTCAGGCTGACTGACACTGATGCCTCCACATCCAAGTCAAAGTCTTTGCTTTAGTGCATGCCATCGTCTGCCTTGAGCAAATGCATGCTTTCACTTTAGCTATTACTCCTTCTAAATCCTTTTTCTTTTAAACTCTTCCAATCAGCATTGTGCTTGAGAAGTATTAACTGCTGTCAGTCTCTACCACTGGAAATGCTTAAAGCAATCAAAGGATTCACTTCTGATAACGGGAAAAAAAACCCACCACCCTAATAGTTATATATAAAAGGAACCACGCAGTGAGCCTGCAACTGCTCTAGAGAGCTTTGCACAGAAAAAATACTTTTAAATCAGCTGTTAAATCTTCTAATAAGGTCAGTTCTGTTAGGAACTATTCTGATATACTAATCAACTGCCTCAGTGGCCACCCCTCCAAGCAACGTTTTCTAAGCTACACATTTTGAAGGAAGAAATCAAAGGCAAAGGTTTTCAAAAGTGGGAGCACAATGTTAGGGTCCTGAGTGCTCTGATTTCCCAATGTTGCCCCCAGCACGTCCCATCGATCTGCAGGCCATTTGACCTTCTACTTCTGAGACTGAAAGAGGCTAGGATAAGATCTGGCCCCAAAATCCAATTTAGCAAAATGTATGTATCAAACTGCCATTTGGAATTGCAGCCCCGATTTAGCAAAGTACTTAACTGTGCCTAACTTAAGGAGATGCTTTGTGCTCTGAAGATAAATGGACTTATGTTAGTTTTCCTTAAAGCACATGCTGAAATGCTTTGCTAAAATGGCATGGCAAGGGGTCAACAGTGTTAAGCTTCCAAAGAAGAAACATCCCAGTATTCATTCCCAGGAACTATCACCTTTTATTTCATGCTGACTCATTTCTCTTCGCTTTTCCAGTTCTTTTCTATCATAATTCAACCTCTTTAAACACATGATTCCATATTGCAAGCTTGTTCTGTTATTTAAAGAGAAACATTTACAGAGTTAATAAAGATAATTTTGAAGATGGGAACATATGTAGGATGTATATTTCCTACATTTCACATGAGGTGTTTCATGGTGCCCATGTAGCAAATCTTGAGGACAGAGGGGAGAGCAAAACCATTAAAAAAACTCCACAGACTTCAAAAATGAAATGGACAAAACCAAAATGAGTATGTTTGAATAAATGTTCTAGCATAAGAAACCCAAAACATTAAAAATTGTATTCAGAAAAGGTCAGCCCTTGCAAGTCGTGAAATGCTTTGTCAAATCAGGCCTGAGAAAAATGACAAATTAGACAGTAGATAAAAAAAAAAATCCGCTTCTTGTCACATAAACATCACTCTCCCTAAAGTCTAAATGCCTTTATTTCCATATTTCCAATTTAGCTTCCTGGCTATATCCCTAGGTAACCTGAGCAACTGTCAATTTGCTTGTACTGTTAACAGCTTTTATGTGCTACATACAATAGCTTTTCATTATTATGAGATCTCAGGGCTTCAAATCTTAGTCCACCATTTTCTGATACTTTAAACCACTTAATAAATTATTACCGTTTCTGTATTGTCAAGGCTTTTTTTATATATTAATGGTTCCCCACTCATTATGAAATTTATCTGTACCCTTATCTTAGTTTTGAGAGGCATAATTGCAATGCGGTTGCTATCACTGAAGGAATCTCTCTCAATTCAGCTTTCTGACACTTGGCACTCACTTTTCTGTGTGGTTTTCCATGCCAGAACAACAGAAAGTAAGTGTTTTTACTCTGTGCAGCACTGAGCACTATGTCAGACACACAAACATCTCTATAGGTGTAGTCTTTATGCCAACATACCGATGAAAGCTATCCACCATTTTTAAGTGCACGCGCAGATCTTTCTTTGTCAGGTGATCTAACATCCTTGCATCTACCAGGCATTCCATAAAATAACTTCGGTACTGAGGTAAACCCAGACTGGGCAGCCATTCGTTACCTATCCATTCGTGGTTCATATCACCATAAGCCAGGGTCTACAGGGAAAAAAAAGGGAGAGGGGGCATAAATTCTTGAGTTTGTTCAAGGTTGCATCACAGACTGAAGACAATATCTGCCTGCCATGTTTGCTTCTAATGAGATTTCCTAGCTTATAAATCCTGTCTAAAAAAACCCATTCTGTTGTTACATTGTTTTCACATTGGAGGTAGAAGCCACTGTGAGTATTTGTCACTGATGGCAGTTTTGCCTGTTGTGTCTTGTTTTCTGTGTAATTTTAAGCAATTTTTTTTTTGTAATAAGAAATTGTAGTTTCAATATTGAGTTTTAAATGCAAGCAAACATTACACAATCAAAATGTGTTTGTTTCATAATCTTACTTGCTTTCAATTGAGCTTCTAGAATATTTATGTTAGGCAAATCCTACCCTGAACTTGGTAACACAAACATGGCTCCAGGGAAGCAACTGAAATTTGTGTCACTGTTTAGTAGAGCTAGGATTTCCTAAATACAATCTAACGACACCTCATGGTTACACACCTGTGGTCCTTTTGTGACTAAAAGTTAATTTCAGTTGTTCGTCAGCCAAGCTTAAGTTTACAGTCAGTCTTCACCATCAGTCACAGCGGGTGACCAAATGCATTCTATTAATGAGATATTTTCAGCTGTGAACAGCTTAAACCTAAATGCATCATATGTGGAGCTCAATAAATTAATTCTTTAAGATAGTAGCAAGCCAGATTCCTCCTAGAAGCTAGCATTCAGGCATTAAGCTACTTCTTTGTTCAGCTGAAACTTCATAGGGTGAAGAAGAAAGTATACCAAAAAACCTCATGCATATTGAGCTATTTTTATAGGGCTTGCACAATTAAGATGCAAAAATAGATAGATTTTACATCGCACTATTGTCACTAGGTACTACTAAAATTTAACAGAAAAGAGAATTTATACATTGCAAGATTAACATCTCAATAGGATCATGCTTAGCTTGAGCATCGCTTTCAAGCCTGACTATACTTTGGTTTTGTTTTTAATGTCTTCTGTCATTATAGACAAAAGGATAACACAGTGAGAGCCCAATATATTTCTTATGGGCAAAAATATAGTGCCCTCATCTCTCATTCTTGTAAGATTTTCAAGAGAAAAGGAATGCCATCAGTAAAGACTGTAAGATTGTGTAAGAGTGTGCATATATTAGAGAGGGAGAAAGAAGCTGAAAAATATAAATAATTGATAGTCTAAGTAAAGTGAAGAATTTTGTTCCTAATTATACAAGTCTATTTGTAGACTGATACTTGGGTGTGATTTCTACAATTGTTCTAAAAAAAACCAACCTGATGTAATTTTAGAAATGTTAGATCTCAAACTCTTGGCATATTTTATTAGCCTATTCTTAAAAATGAGGAAAACATGTTTTCTAGATTTAGCTGGGAGATAGAAGATGTCTCTGGAATGTGGCCATTTAAGAAAAATATTTACGACATATGTACCTCTTTATGCTTTATCTAGCAAATGTGTCTGGAGAATATTTTCTTTGTATTAGAAGAATTCTAAAATGTGCAAATCATAATTCAATCACTGAGATACTGTCACAATACTATACCCCTCTATGCATATTGATACACTGTTAAATATGTTATTATTAGCTTTCTGTTAAAAGAAATCATGTGAAAGGGTCATACCTGAGCCCAGCTGCCTTCTTCAGATTCTTTCTGTTTTAGCAGGAAGCAGTTAGTAAAGCAGGTAAAAAGACAATAAAAATGAGCTATAAAAAGATGTTTTTTTCTTGTGTATGTTAATCTTAGTACAAATGAAAGCATACATGTAAAATGTGCCAATAAAATAACTCCAGTCAGTGGCAACATCCTGGGCTAAACTACCTTAAAAATTACAAGACTAAAAGAGTAAAATCTTAGTAGGGCAAACATAGCTAAGTTTTCAAGATATAAAATCATTATAGCTTAGTGAAACTTTGCAGCATTATCTTAAACACTTTTTATGGCTTCACAATCAAAACACAACCATTTGCTTACAAAACTGGGTATTAGAGATGACATTTTTTGTCTTTATTGCATCAAAATTTAGCTTCGGTACCTCCCCCACCATTTATGGATTGGGCTGACTATGAAGTTGTCCAAACTGAAGATAGGTTTTTCAGACATCTCGCTGTAAAATTGTATCATGTTTTGTAAGCACTATTACAGAGTTGTTATGATGTAATGCTAAAAACAAAACCTAAAATAACATGTTGCAAGTAAAACCAAAAAATCAGAACTATTGAATAATATTTATTAATATTTATTTATGGCCCCTCAAAGCAAGGAGAGGTTTGCCAAAAATCAATAAACAAGTGACATGCTCCATGCACCCTAAATCAAAGAGCAAGGACACACAAGCATGGACATGAAAGACACAGTATTAGTGAAAACACTGAGTTCTATAATGCACCATTCTCAAGCCTTTTCTTATTTCTTTCTATTTCAGTAGATACAAAACTATGTTTAGAAGCGGTACTAGGGAGCAGAATACAGGGGAAATGTTGCACCTGTGACAATTTAATTTCACTAGATCAGGTTTCACACTAGCAGTGAAACTATTATGTACTGTAAAACTCCAATACTGATTTTAGGTTCACACAATTTTTGTGATTGCTATACAGTTTCTAATTTCTTTTGCTGAGAAATGATGTAACTGTTCTTTAAATTCCAATTCACTACTCTCTGTGACTTTCTAATGGCATGCTTGGGAAGCATCCTACAGAAGATATGGCATCTGTGTTACAGCAGATATACCCTAGTTCTCTTTTGAGCACTGAAATCAAATTAAGTGGAAGTGGAAAGACTAACCGTTTTAGCTGGAGCAGCAAGATTTTCCATTTCTTCATGGGTCACCCAAACATTGCCTGAGGGCTATGGACAAGGCCCGCAGGGAGGCAGGTGGGATCCACATTAGGTAAGCAGTGGTAAAGAAGAAAGGCAGCACCACTGTAAGTTAACAGCGTATAGCATCACCATCAGCACAACCATGTTCTTGCCTCTACTGAGCTGCAACTAGAGACAACTTTAGACAACTTGTTTTGTATCTTTCGTTAGAGGATTCTGAACAGATGTGATGGAGTATTTTGACTAGAACTGATGAATGAAATCCGGCAGAGCACCGTCACAAAGGAGAGAACAGTAATTAAAGCTGCATTTCACACACAAGTGGCAAACACATACTTTAGCTCGTAGCTCTGTCTGGAGGTTATCTTCGGTTCTCAAAGATTTTCCGGCCTAAATATTCTGCACACATCACACACTCATATTGTAATCTAAATAATTATTACTTCCCCCATATTTCTGTAAATCACAAATGTCAAGAAAATTCACTTGTAAAACTATTTTTCCTCATCCTGTTGTTTTCAGTCAGATTACTACTAGGACAATGAGATGAGGCAGGGAGAGGGTGTGGAAGACTGCTGTGCACATAATGTGAAATGTACTATATTTTTTTGAGAGATGAAGTAAGTTAACTCCTTTCCTGAGAAAGAAGGGAGGCAGAAAGACTTGGGACTCAGAAATGCACATACCAGGACAGTGCAGCTTTGTGCTGCCAATTACTCAGGAGAATTAAAAAAACAAGGCAAAATTATTCCCAATGTTTCTAGCTTGAATGTACTGTTTTTTTCATTTCATAAGTGTCAATGTGCTTATACTTTGAAATATGCTCTTATGCTCAAAAATCAAAAAGAATCTTGTTTAGTAATTCAACATCATGTTGAGTCTATATTGCTTTACTTAGGTGAAATCCATTATGATTCATAATATTACCATGATTATGACACATACAATCATTCTGGGGGGAGAAAATATCAGATGGGGAACTATAATATTTAAAGAACCTTAGCAATCTGAAGATAAAAGGCCAGTCAATAGGAACATTAGAGTCCTGATGCCCAGTTGCTCATATAACTCAGTGGTTCTGACACCCCTCAAAGGTATCTCAATTCTCATTTCCACTGAAAGATTCTGCATTAATTCCACAAACAAAATACAAATATTATTAACATAATTGTTATTGTTATCTTAGTATTGAAAGTCTGGGCTGCACTACTGGAGTAGTCTTTGTCCTTCACGTCTGCACCATGCACCATGTTTCCCATTTGATTTTTTTTTTCCCTTGTTCTTTTTTCTTTTTTTTTTTGTTACAGTCTCTGTTGTCTCTTTCACAGCCATCACCATCAGCCTCTCAGCATGAAACTCCCCTTTCGTTATCTTGTTACTTTACCTCCTCATCAGTTTGGCTTGGTTCTCTCCATTTTCCACTAAAAGGTACTTTTTATCTACAAGCACATACATTCTTACATTCCCTTAATGTACTTTCTCGCTCTTTTTGATATATTCCCCTTTCCTTTCAGACCTGTATCTGTGTGTTTCTTCTTTACTTACTTCCTTCTCATCTGCTGCCACTCTCTCCCTTCCTCACCAAATGCACATGCTCTACTTCTCCCTTCCAGACTTTTCTTTTTTTTTTCCAATCACTGATTCTCTAAAAAGCAGGAAGAACCCAAAGCCAGCCAACTCAGTAATCTGATCACATTTGAAAGGATGCAAAAAAGGGGAATGGGAACAAGATTCAAAAGGCCTATATTCCCACATAACCTCTCCCCTCTCCTGCCTTGCCTGCCCCTTCTCCCCCCAAAAAGGAAGCGAAACAACAAAAAGAGAGGAACATAATCTGTTTTGGTTGGGAGAGATGACTTGAAGGAAGAGAAAAGCAAAGATATAGGCAAAATTACAAATAAGATGTTCAATACTGATCATTTAGATAACATCAAGGTTAATCAAAAGTACGACTTAAAAAAAAAAGAATATCTGCTAAAAGAAAAATATCAGTGATCAACAATCAAGCAAGTGATGAACGGGTCCTTCTAAGTCTCTACAGGACAGATCCCACTGATTGTGAAGTGTGTGTTACCACAGAGCCACTCTCATACTACAAAAGTCTTTCTGCCAATTCCTGCAGGGTGAAGTGGGGAAGAAAAAGTTAGCTGAACAGGACTCACTGTTCTGGACGTTGGAGGTGCTGATGGACTTGTCAGTGACACCATCTCCTGGATTGCTAATCGGAGCTTTAAGCGATGAAGAGGATTGCTGATTCCAATTTCTCTTTGAATCTCAGTATCAGACAAAGCAGACATAATAGCTCCGCTCTTCACGTTAGCACGGCAGGCAGCAACATACCAGGCTGGCATGCCTAGCCAGAGCTGTTGAGGGAAATGACACGTTCATCCAAAGCATTTCTTCATTTCTCGAATGAAATAAATCATCAAGGCACCTATCAATCTGAATAAGCATGGTAATACATATAAACAAGTATGACTATCATAGTCTTTAATAATACAAAATTGTTTCAGAACTTTTGAAATTGCTATGAACTATTTCTGATGCTTTTATTTTAACCAGAACTTTAAATCAAGGGATGTTTTGAATTATTTTGGATGTTAGAAAGAATTTCTTCTCTGAAAGGGTTGTCAGCCACTGGAATAGGCTGCCCAGGGAGGTGGTTGAGTCCCCATCTCTGGATGTGTTTAAGAAAACGGTGGATGAACTGCTTAGGGACATGGTTTAATGGGGGATTAGGGACGGTTGGACTGGATGATCTCTAAGGTCTTTTCCAACCTAGAAATTCTATGATTCTATGATTTTTAGAGCTATATGCCTCCATCACTTGGGCGACTTCTTTCTCAGGCCTTTGATGAGCAAGTAGCGGCACAAGTCAGTGTTACTACCCATTTAATTGTCTTATATACAGAAAACAATCCCAGAGGAATTGATTGATATTTTCACTTTTGTACTAAAATGGCTGTCCCCACGGAGTACTCATCAGGCACAATTTTATGCTTCCCATCTTTTATTTTCTTGGCAGAAATAAAACAAGCAGAATGTGGATCACTGACCTAGTGAAGACTGAGCTTACTGCAAATTTGGGAACACGCTGGTATGGTGTCATATCCCAGCTAGAACTACTGGTTAGAAATTGCAGCAGAATGCAAGTACAGCTACATCACCTGTGGATTTAGAAGATATGTGCTTGCCACTTCATGCTCTTCCTCTCCTTATGTTACTCTTACTAGCCTAGATCAGCAACAGCCCCTTGCTTCACCACTTACTCTTTTCTTGTAAGAGGTACTCCCCACTTCTAGCAGTCTTTCTTGGGACCTAGTGAGTATGAATTCTTCCAGGTTTTATATGATTGTTGGTGTCTACAGAACTTTGCTCACAAAGGACATAATTCCATAGCAGGGAGATATACATGGGGGAATCTTTTGTCACAGCACAAAATATATTATGCTATAGAGAGAAGTATGAGAAGGACATAAGCAGGGAATGCCATAATCACTGAGACTTTTTGGGATAACACGATGGAAAAAAAAAGACATACCTCACTAGGTGCTTAACTCCAGGGGACTGCTAGACTCTGTGAAACCTGAGAGAAGAAAATACTTCTCTCTGGAGAGTAGCCCTTCCCTGCCTTCTCTCCTCACCCTTTTGCAGATCACTATCACACATGAGTTGGTGCTGTGAATTACATTGTTTAGTACATAGCTCTCTCCACTGGGATGAAGAACCGTAATATATAACAAAAGATTTCCACTGGGCAGTAAATCAGCTAATATTCTAGATTTTGTAACACTGAGTGTCAAAGTGCATAAATTTCAGTACTTAACCTTCAATATGTATGAGCGTACATACTTCTGTATACTTAAAATTTATATAGGTATTTATGCTGCTACCTAATTTTGTTAAGTATAGATCTGTTGTACTTCATTGTACTGCTATAATATTCCTTCAAACATAAATAGTCAAAAGCACTTTTCGAATGTACCGATTAGTTACTAATGGCTTGTGGTAGCATCTTACTCTGTTCTACTGTTTCTGAAATAGAAACTTGTCCATCAGCTTACAATGCAGTGATACTATGTGATAGCAGCCATTATAGTCTACATTTTCAGATTTTTTTTAATTCATTCTAGGTAGATGGCAATTAACAACTATTTGTGTTTGAATTTCAGTGGGATAGAGCATCTGTGACTGTAAGTGAAGTCATCGAGAACTCTATCTCAAATAGACCATCAGAATTAGCTGATTCCATGATTTTAATTTTTTCTCTTAATAATGGCTTACTAAAGGAGGACACAAGGTCAAAGAAATTATTAAAAATATGCCATCAGTAAATTCACCAGCAAATCTGGAAAGCAGAGACAAGCTGAAAGGATTTTTATTTAATTTCTCACAGTATAAGGATGTACTGTGTAGTTAGTTACTAACAAGTCTATACCTTCTCTGGGACATATTCACTTAAAAGACAGCTATTAGATAACTTTCATGTCACAGAGAAAACAGACTTAATGTCAGATTCCAAAAGAGCTCCGACAGGCTTTTCTGTACTGACTGCTGATGTACCAAAAGGCTTGAGAAATTACTGCATTGTGTTTCAAACAGTCTTTCTCACTGATGGGATGAACCACTGCCCCGCATCCAATGCTATTCTGCACCTTACACATATGATCTAATTCCAACTAACCGTAATGAAACAGAAAGTTTCATGAAAGTCAAAATACGAAAAAAAAATTATGTAGATTACACCCAGCTGGACTCAAACAAAGGGTCATGAGGAAACTATGCACAGGCTTTAAAATGTATTTAATATTCTCATTTAATTTGACATTATTTTTTTTCATAGATGCACTTGAAAAGCAGGAAAGCATAAATACTGGGAATTATTCACCCTGCAGAAATAGATTTAAATGTTTGCTGCTCATTAGGTAAATTAGTTCTTTAACAAATTAGGTAAATTAGTTCTTTAACAAACAGCTGTCTCTACCAGAAAATGCAGTTAGATAGAAACAGCCTCTAAAAAGAGGGCACAGTAATAAAAAGAGGGCACAGTAATTGTTCTAGGCAGAGAACTCAGATATCAAGACTGATATTCTTCTCCAGAATTAGTTAAGAAAATCCATAGTTCTAAAAATATATCTCACCTATGTCTGTGCTACATACAGATAATCAGAATAAATGCTAAGGCTGAAAAGTTAAGCCCTGAAAAGTTTGGAAATGTCACAATTGCAATCACACTTACGTTTTAATTTTTGGCCTTTGTCTCCTTTAATATTAATTTTGTTTTTCAGTCCAAAGGTCACATACTATATTTTCCTCAGGAGAGTATGAAATGCATACAGTGTCCATCTGCTGACTGAATGCACTGATGCTCACTGAATAAATTCAGTACTTCTGCCCTCATATCTTTTTATTATCAGTATTCTATCTGCATTGAACACTGCAACATAGAATTTCTCATGGGCTTTCGTACTCTCATCATAATTCCCAAGAAGTTCATAGACATCAGTTTCTCTTTACAGCCCCCTCTCTGAGACAGTGGGAAGCATATCCCATTCTGCTGCTAAGAATCAAGGGAAAAAAGATTGGGACTTGTCAGAAATTCTTCAAATTTTGGATCACCCTAGAGGACATCAAGGGCAGGCTTTTCTCAGTCTACAGAAATTCACAGACCTTTGTATGTTCACCTTTTCAGAAAATCAGCTTTGACAGTAATATTGAATATTTCTGACTGATACAAATCTGGTTACAGAACTCTCAAAGTCACATGAAAAAGTCAGGTAGCGGTCAAATTAATGAATGTTCCATATTAACAGAGATATTTTTTGGGAAGGACGATACCCTATTTTTCAAGGTCATGCACAAAAGCTTGAACTACCATTCTGCAGCTTTCATTTCATCTTTTTCATTAGGTACCTTCAGCAATTCCAACATGAAAAAGAAATTCTGTAGACATTTCATTCCTCATCCTTCATTTATTCCCTGAACATATTCCTGTTAAAGCTTTGGAGAGGGATTTTTTTTTATTTTATTTTTTTTTATTGAAGGGAAAAACTCTACAATTTCCATCTGATGATCAATGGACGATACCCAGAGCAGACATGAAAACAGGTGAGAATACACAGAGGCACTTGGTACAGACATCTGTTCCTTGAGCCAACAAAGAGTTTGTATCTGCAATGCCATGTAAAAGTGACCATGTATTTGTGTGAGAACATCCTTAGAATCTGTAGCTTCTGTATCAGCCTCAAATAAAATCTGATAACTAATTTTTGTTTCCTCCTTAGCACATCATCCTTCATTCCTCTGTGTAATCCTTACTTTTTTCAGCTCTAGTCTTTGATATACACCATCCAGTGTCAAAATCTGCTTAGTGCTCATGGCACAGTGTGCGGGGGAGAGAGGAGAAGACTTTAACAGTCTCTTTTAGAGTTTTTAAGGACAAGCATACAGAAGCAGCCTACAAATGTGACTCATGCTCCAAGTTATGACCAACACTTACCTCCAGCCAGGCAACCACTGTTGGCCCATCCCACTGTGCAAAAGGCAAACCCTTTCTCCGAGCTTCTTCCAGAAGTTCATGTCTAAAAATGGATCAAAAATTGTTAAATATGCAGAAGTATTTGTAGGGACAATAAAAGTGCAACCTTGCCTTTTTGTTAAGGGTAACAACAGTGAAGCACGATGACAAGCATAGAAAACACGAGTGAATAGTACAGCTCCTTCCCCTTTTTGAATTTGTTCCTTAACCTATTCCCGACTCTTCTTTTTTTTTCTTCTTGGTACATTAAACAGCTACCATAAGAAACGAGAGGTTTCTATCTGTTCTGAGCTGAAGTAATACAGAATTGGGATACCCGAATATAAAAGGATCACCCATATAATAGAAGATATCAGTGAAGAGAGAAAACTGAGGGATTCCTCCTGAGAAGAGCTTAGGTCTGGTCTGGTAATGACCTAGAAAAGCCCAAAATTGCCAACTTCTAGACCTGAGCTAAGCATGGATGTACTGTAGCCAGGTATGAGAGGTCTCTGTGTTTGAAACACTAAATCCTGCTGGATCAGCTAAGCACAATTCTAGATCTCTAGAGTACAGTTATTCTGCACCTTAAATAAGCCATTCATGGTTAATTAACAGTTGGTTGTATCTTTAATAGTTCCATGTTATTTTTTAAAAATTATTATTGCTTACATACAAAAGACATCCATGCGGTTTACTGATGTATACATTTTTATGATTACAGAATTGATGTGATTTCTCAATTTTATATATATACATATATACATAGCTATAGCTCTATACATAGAGCTGAGCTCTCTATACATAGCTACAGTTGATCAGATCCCATTCCAACTCCTGCAACTGCTGCTTCTCTGGACTGCAATGAGTGTGTATGTAAAACATCATTCTCAAAAGCTTAAAATACACTTTTAATACAGCAGTATTAAATATTTGGTCATGTATAGGCTAACCAGCTAGACTATCAGGAAAATGCTTTACACTAAACACATTCAACCACTCAATCAGACATTTTTAGTCCTGAAGCAGGAATAAAGAACCACTGTAGTGGTGGCATAAAAAAAGCAGACCTTCAAAAGTCTTTTTTTTTGGTGTCTAAACATATTTTCAGCTGCCTCCTACTGAGTGAAACACAAAAGAATGCTCTCAGCAACAAGCTTTAGTGAAAAACAAATTAGACAGGGACTATGCTAATGAAGTATTAAAATTTGCTTACATTCTCACATAACAAGGAAATCTTGGAATTATAGCTTCATTTTTGCTTTGTTCTCCTTTATTACTACAGCCTTTGTTGTTCATTTATCCCTCGACAATTCTTCACTGCCTTAGAAGCCTTTCAAATATATGTATTACAAAATCACAGCAGATAAAAGCGATGGAGTGATCTTACTTGCAAGGAGTACTCCTTTTGGGATTTTTGCACTGCCGAGGGGCCAGATTGAGAGAATTTGGCTTTGGTAGAAAATGGATCTCAAATAGCAATTTTAAATATGTGTTCAAATCCCTCGCTCTGAATATTAATAGAAAGACAGCTACATTACTGTCTATGTTTCTGCTGTAGTAATATATAACACTGCAAATCCTTGACAGCGTTACTGAAGTTTATCTCGCTTCTCCTCCCACACATCCTTTGCAGCATACCTTACCCCTTGTCACGCAAATGTCCAAAGACATTGTAGAGCTATCCTTGCTTTCTATGAAAGCAAAATCCTTGGTAAAATGAGAAAAAGTTGCTTTCTGTGTACACAAACACCATGTCATAATCAGTAGCTAGAGGAGGTACAGAAATCCCATATTCCCAGGGAGACAAGTGGTGAAGGCTAAGAGACATACGCATTTGGCTGCTTAGGAAAGCAGAATTAAGGCATGGCCAGACACAGCCACCTTCCCGCTACCTGTGGATGAGGTATTTGGGTTGCAGCCTTCCCTCAGAGCTGGTTCTGCGGGGTGCCTGCAAAGCTACAGCAGTGCTGACCCTCCCTCTGTTGCCACAATGGGGTTGCAGGTCTTCTGCTGCCAAGAGGGCTGTGCGCTGGCATGGCTGTCCTCAGGGAGAGCCAAACTTTCAGGGATGCCTCTTCCTCACCTGGCCAGTTTTGGTGTCCCATGGCA